TTCAAATGATCTATCGTATACTTCGTCCAAATGGTCTTTTTCTTTTTTTTTGAGAACATCATGCTCGACAAGAATTAATTCCATTATTGAGTGTTGCACATATGGTATTTAATATTGTTACTGGTGTAGATTATGAATCGGAAATAAATGAAATTCGAGCATTTCGAACAGTTGAAGATTGGCGTTCATGTTTAAGACGTGCTGGTTTTGAAGATACATTTGTTTATGATGAACAAGAAGATGATTCAACAGATGACATTATGATTATTTTTCGAAAACCAGAACAAGACAATCAAATAACAAATATAGAATGGAATGAAAATTATCAGAAAATTATTGCTAATCCAGAATCAAATTATTTTCGACCATGTGAACGGTTAGTTGTTCGAATTTGTATGCAATTTGGACAATATTTAAATCATACACCATTCTATTATTTTCCATTTGTTAAATTTCTCGTACATTATTGGTCATTGTTTCTTTCTGAAACAAAATTATCAATTAAAAAATACGGTTTGCTAACAATACTCTTTCGATCACCTGGTTTTCAAATGAATGTTTTTGTTGGTATTTTTATGACTATAACATTATTGCCTGTGATATTGTCTTCATTCCTCGTACGAATTTTCTTATCTCGAACTATACCCGAATATGAAAAATTAGTTCTTGAACAGACAGAAAATATTGATGAAGATCCATTCAATTTTCAACAATCAATCGATCCACATATTGATCATATGCAAATTTTGAAAAAAGAAAGATTTCTATGTCATACAAGTACCAAGACATCATATATTCACGTCTATATTAAAAAAATTAGCTATGCATTCAGGTCAATTCAATCTTCATTATATTTCGGATCGAGATGATCAAATTCAAGTTGAAATTTTAATTAATAATGATGATGATGCACAACGGTTAATGTGGTTACAGCAACAACCCAATATTGATGTTATCTATGAATTTAAGAATCCAATCGACAATAAACAAACAACTTTGATTGTAGGTGTCAAAATTAAAGAATTATTTTCATTGATTCGGAACTGCACAAATTTTGAATCTGATGGTTCAATGACAATTGTTCAAATTTTTGATTATTTTGAATAGATTACCTATCACTCTTTGTATCCTATTTAGACTAATAATTGACTATTATTAAAATATTCATTTTGC